GTGGTCCCAGAGTCCACCAGGAAGCTTCCCAAGGGCTCCTTGGCTGTTGAGGGCTTATGTTTTTATCACCCGCACTATCCCGCACTGCTGCTGCTCGGAGGTTCACGGGTAGCTATAAGTGGGTTGTAAGTAGGGCCTTATCTAGGGTACTTGTAACTTATAACCCTACTTAGTACTACCTACGAACCTCCAAGTAGCCTAAGTATCACTGCGTAGGTCCCAAGTTGAGGTAACGAGGTCGGTGACAGGTTCGTGCATCCGGGATCTGAGGACCCGGACCAAAACCGACAGCGGGGCTAGGGTTCAAACAAAGGAGCGAGCGCGAGCCTTTGGTTTTGTTGAAGTATGAAGTGTTTGCAGGCCGTCCGAGCATTCCGCCGGGGAAGGCGCCAACTCATTAAAACACCAGCTCTTTCATGCTCGGGTTGAGACGGGAAGCGCCGTCGACCTATTGTTTGGACACGATTCGATGTGGCATGAACGTTCTTTAGTCCAACTACATGCGGTCCAACAACTGCATCTCCGGCCATTGCCGAACGCATGACCGGAACAGTCTTAGGCACATTCTAGCTTCAGCCAACATTTTAGCCATGGTGGGGATGGGTCTTAGGATTCAGAACCCCTAAACCCTCAACCCTAACCCCTATAGGCCTCTTAAAATGACCATGGCTGCTAGAGAAGGTACAAGAATCGGTGCTACTGCGACTGCCGTAATTACGTAGGACAAGTGCATGCCTTCAGCCTCTTCAACAGAAGTTTAGGGTTTAGGGTTTAGGGTTTAGGGTTTAGGGTTTAGGGAAGCTCGAATCTCATGGCAATCTCTCTACAAGCATCGGAAAAGAGACTTTGCCCTGACATCGTGACCGCGTCCACGTCCAAATAGTACGCCTGGCTGGGCTGATAGACTTCCCTGCCCCTCTAAGAGCCTCTTGCTGGCATGTTCTGAGGCTGACTTCCCCCATATGATTATTTTCGGTTCTGATGATGACTGTTGCGGTTGTTATGGTAATTATGAAAGTACGACTACAAGACTATAAGTGTGATTATGATTATGGTGTCCATGGTTTTGACGCCGTTGCTATGAACGAAGCGGGGCAACGAAGCCCCCCAACCTAAAGCTCAGGGACCCATTTGCAGAGCGACTCCCAGCCAAACCCTAGCATGACGAAGTTGGAGACTCCAACAGTGGGGTTGCGAAATAAGCCCTACGCCTTAAACCTAAACCCTAAACTCTGAACCCCAAACCATAAAGCCAACCCTAACAATCTCGAACTAAGCCGAAGGCAGGGCAGCCTTGGAGTAGGGCACCCACTGCCATGGCCCGGCGGTTGGCATCCAGGTGCTGTTCCTTGGCTTCGCGACTGAAGGGTCTAGGGTTTAGGGTTTAGGGTTTAGGGTTTCGGGTTTCGGATTTCGGGATTCGGGTTTAGGGTTTCGGGTTTCGGGATTCGGGTTTAGGGTTTAGGGTTTAGGGTTTTAATCGTGCTGCTCTCCTAGTGGAAGCTGCCAAGTGTGAGGAATGCAGGCGTCGTCGGCCTGCAGGCTGGTCCCAGCGAGTGTAAACGACTTGAGCCATATCGTATATCCAAAAAGCCCTCATAGAGTCATAGAGGGCGTGGTGACCCTAAACCCTAAACCCTAAACCCCAAACCCGAAACCCAAAACCCTAAACCTCAGCCCTAAGCCTGAGGCCCTGAGTCCTAAGCCCAAACCCTAAACCCTAAACCCCTTAAACCCCCTGAGCAAGTTCCAAGATGGCCCAAGCATCACTGCACCCAGGGAGAAGGAGCCTCCTCGCTCTGCAAGGCACAATGCGAAGAGCTTCTTTCCCACGTGGCCATCCTTGGACAAAGGACGGCTTGGGGTTTAGAGTTTAGGGTTTAAGGTTTAGGGTTTAGGGTTTAGGGCAAGCACACCGTCACGCGACGTGTGTGCCAACCCTGCGCAAAAATGATGTATGCACAGCCTTTGCACAACAGCTCCTCATCCCGATCGCCCCACGTATATCATTTCATTCGGTCCCCTTCTCCCCAGGGAGCTCAGTACCCCTTAAATAAGGAATGTAATTTCCTTAAATCATATAGGGATCCTTAATATATCTTAATATGACTTAAGGTCTATTCCTTATTTGAGGGGTCTTGGGCTCTCTGGGTCCCCAAGCAACAGCCAAGGCACGGCAAGCTGTGACAAGACATTCCACTCGCCATCCCTCAGGCCCATGATGCCCGATGGCACCTGCCAAAATGCTGAGAAATTCAGGGTTTAGGGTTTAGGGTTTAGGGTTTGGGGTTTAGGGCTTACTTGGAGGTTCGTATGGGTTGCTATAAGTCGGGGTATAAGCGCCCAAAGTAAGGTTATAAGTAGAGCTACCCCACTGAATAACACTACGTATAACTACCCATGAACCTCCAAGTACTCCTAAACCCTAAACCCTGAACCCTAAACCCTAGACCCTAAACCTTAAACCCCAAACCCCAAAGCCCAACCCCCCAAACCCCAAACCCCAAACCCTAAACCATAACTAGCCATGAAACTCCAAGTAGGGCTTCAAGGCTCATGGGGGTAAAGAAAACCCTGCAACTCGTGGGCTTGTAACACAGGCCAGCCAGGGTCTCTTGCTGAAGGCGCTTGGTGGATTTTGCTTTTCGGGAGTAGCTACATAGTAGGGCTTAGGGTTTAGGGTTTAGGGTTTAGGGATAGTAACCATCCCGGAGGAGCCTGTGTCGTGAAGAGGCCGGTTTCTCTTGTGTGGCATCCCATCTGCACCAAGCTCTTCTCGTTTGCCTCGGACAGTGCGGGGGCATGAGTGCGAGAAGAAAAGATGGAGGGAGGGGACGGAGGAGGAAAGGGAGGGAGAGGGAGGGAGAGAGAAAAAGAAAGACAGAAAACAAAAATAAAAAGAAGAAGAATAGTCACAATAATAATAACAATAATAATTATCTTACTTCGAACATCCCCACCTTAGGGATTTGGATTTGGGCACTGGGGTTGGGCACTCCAAGAAGACTCTAGGGTTGGGCACTCCAGGGAGACTCTGGGTTTGGCACTCCAGGGAGACTTTGGGACTTTGGGGTTGGGCACTCCAGGGAGTCTCTAGGAGTAGACCGGGCCAGGAAAAGAGTTCCGGGCGAGGAGAAGAGTTCCGGGCGAGGAGAAGAGTTGAGTTTAAAATCTAACAACCCCACACCGAAGGTGGGGAATAATTATGGTAATCATAGTACTAATAATAATAATCACGACAAAACCAATACATCATCGAATCAACAGCTTCCTGCTCCCGAAGTGGCTCTCGCCGCGACGCCCAGATGAAGGACGTCCCTAAAAAACTTCCCTTCGATGCTCGAGCCCTCGACATACTTGGAGGAGTAGCCACAGCTGCCGTTCCTTGGTTGCTGGTTTAGGGTTTAAGGTTTAGGGTTTAGGGCCTCCAAAAAGTGTACACTTTCAGTTTTATAGGGGACGATAGTATCCCAAAAAGTGTAAAGTGTACTGACTCAGCTACTAAGGTTCAAACACGAAGAACATTGGCTCTCGCACCCAACCCATCGAAACGTGCTTGAGGCACTCGGGCTGAAGGGAGGGTCCATGTGCGAGCCGCAATTCTCGCAGTCAGTGCACGAGAACGCTGTTCGTGATGAGCCTGTGTCAATAATCACTGATAGGAGCTGGCCAGGTGTGCCGACCTGGGCAGGGCTTCAGGGGTGATAGTCCTTTCAGAAAACAAGTCAGGGCCGAAGGCCTAGGGCCTAAGGGCTTAGTGGGGCCACCATCAACAAAGGACAGCAAAGCCTGAGCTGATGCCAAGGGGCCAAGATATCGGCATGATATGCCATGAGGTCATGCGTGTCCCCATAGAGGCGCGCCTCATCTGAGCTCAGGCGCCGATGCTGTCCTTCTCCGATACCTGGCCTTCTTGAAAGCGGCAGATGCACTGGCTTTCCATCACAGCTGGCCAGCAGCAGCAGCAGCAGCCTGGCCCCGTAGCTCCAGGCAAAGCTCCATTGCAGTGTACTACTGGGCGGGCTGCAACGGCTGCTAGCATTTTGCAGAGGTCTCATGCCTCCGCAGTTGAGCTGTGTGCTCGTGTGAGATCGATCCGGCAGGAAACTAAGCAAGGGTCCGGCCCTTTCGGGCGGAACCGAACGAATTCAAATCCTGTCAGGAACGAGCTCGAGGATCCAAAGATGGCGGACAAGTGAGTATTCGACCTGCACCAAAAACACAAAAAGCAGCGGCAATGGGACCGCAGGTGCCTTCAAAGTACGGTGCGACAGAGAGACACTTGGGACACACAAGCACCATGAAAGTCCAATTCCAACCACATCAACGGACCTTGTGCGCTTCAGACGTGTAGAACAAGATCGCCGGGTGTGTGTGTGTGTGTGTGTCTATATATATATATATATAGACACACACACACACACATATATATATATATATACATATGCATACGTACATATACATGTTTATAGTGGGTTCAAACTAAAAGGGGAAATGTGCATGTAACATGTATGTACGTACGTGAATATGTGTATATATATATACACATATGCATATATACATATATACATATATACATATATACATATATACATACATACATATATACATATATATACATATATACATATATACATATGTGCATATGTGCATATGTGCATATGTGCATATGTACATATGTATATCCATATGTATATGTATATATATATATATACACACATACACAGATATGTGTGGGTATGTATGCATATGTATGTACACAGATATCTATATAAATACATGTATACATGTACACATGTATATATGTGGGTGTATGCATATATGTCTATGTGTCTATATGCTTTGGGTGTCATGAAGCCCCTCGTTGTACTACTGCCCCTTGCCTAGGAGAGTTGCTTGAACTTGGGGAAGCGCAGGACTCATACCCCTCAGTTCGGGAATTTACCCTGAGGTATGTGGGGATCCGGATATCCCTGAGATGTCCTCAGTCCAACCCGAGCCTCTGCTCGCTTTGCCTCGCGCTCCTGCACTCCTTGGATGTAGGGTGGTTGGTTGTCAGACGCCAATGTGTCAGCCCCTGGACAAGGGGGAGGGGGCGAGCAAGGGAATCGCAAGTTGCCGGTTTCGGGGCTTAGGCTTGTTTGATGGCAGCGCTGCGCAGCAAAGCCCGAGTCTTGATGGACAGTTTCTCATTTTCCAAACTCTTTCCACCCACTTCCTACCGGTAACGAAGCACACTCTGGCAGGGCACACTTCCACAAGTCAGAGGCAATGTTTTGTGTCTCTCTTCTGGTTGCGAGTGAAGGGTCTCTCACACATGCGTCGGCCCAGGCGTACGACAAGCAGCCTCGTCAGTAGCAGTATACGCGGAACACCAACGCATGCGTAAGACGGGCAGTGCTCAGTGGCATCTGATGTTGCAGGGGCTCTCCATGCACAAGATCACAGCAGGATTCACAAGCAGGTGTATTCACAACAGAAGACGCCCAACGTAATCGTGTGCCGGGTATTGGTGCAGACTCAGGCAGGCTCACGTATGGAGCTGCGAAATTACTCGTGCGCAGGGTTTCTTGCGGATGGGCACTGCCGAGCGTTGTGAAATGACCCAAGCTGCAATGCAGCTGCAAGGGTGAAACCGCATGCTTGTAGATATCTGCTCGCATGTCTACTTTGATATAATTCGACCTTAATATATCATGCCATATGGATTATATCATCTGGTACTACAAGATGTTCTATCTCTACTATGCGTAGCATACAATATAATCTACTACCATCACGTAGGGCCTCACAAGATGTCGCGCAACTCGCCGCTGTTTAACTCCTGGAGGCCTTGGTCGCCCAGCAGCCATATTAAACCCTAAACCCTAAACCCTGAACCCTGAGTGGGCTGCAAACGGCCATCCGAATTTTGGGAAACTGGCGTGTTGGCCTGGGCCGGACCTAAAACATCAAGTTCGAGCGGATCGCAGACCCCTAAACTTGGCATGTTCCCCCCCCATACTAACAGTCCTTAATCGAGACTAACCCTAAACCCCAAAAAAAGGGAAAAGGGCACCACCGGGCTACCAAGAGGCGGACCCAAGCCTTGGCGAAGTCGTCAAACCACGCTTTCTGGTCGGCGGCGTAGCGCTCCACGTGCTGCTTGAAGGCTGGGTCTTCCAGCAGCCTTGGGGTAGGTTTGGGGTTTGGGGTTTGGGGTTTGGGGTTTCGGGTTTGGGTTTGGGGTTTGGGGTTTGGGGTTTGGGGTTTGGGGTTTGGGGTTTGGGGTTTGGGGTTTGGGGTTTGGGGTTTGGGGTTTGGGGTTTGGGGTTGGGGTTTTTGGGGTTTGGGGTTTGGGGTTTGGGGTTTGGGGTTTGGGGTTTGGGGTTTGGGGTTTGGGGTTTGGGGTTTGGGGTTTGGGGTTTGGGGTTTGGGGTTTAGGGTTTAGGGTTTAGGCTTTGGGGCTTTAGGGTTGTTTATGGCTTTATCAGGATTATGTGGGGACTAAGGGTGATCAAAAGCTCACAATGATGCCCCAACCTACCCCAGCAGCGCCATATCTGTGGTGAGCATCATCGTCTCACCGGACCTGTACTGTGGCTTGCCATTCCGGTTCGTCTCCTTTGTCCACGACTTCTGAAGCAAGTCCTTAAAGTAGGAGTTGTCGAAAAGGAGCTTGTCATCCGTCCACGGGCCCTCAAAGCCCGAGCGATCACCATGGCACATCCCGACCGTGTGTGCACCCGAAAGGGCAACCATGTCACGCTCCTCGAAGCCCTTGGGAGCAAAGATATCTTTGATGTGCTTCGCATCCTTGTCCCCATCCGGAAGGCGTCCCTCAGCCGATGAGACTCCGTCTGAAGCATGGTGCACATCGAGCCGGCCGAAGCGAGTGGGAATCTCGGGTCCTCCCATGGCCTTGATGGACACGTTGGCAGCCAAGGCCCAAAGGTCAGCATGAGAAATGAGTCGCGGGACATACTTCTCTGCGATTGGGCCGAGAAGTGCAAGTGCAACCTGTGGCAGCCCAGCATTCGCTGCCATCGAGTTTTCACCACTGCCGGCCAATCGCATTGCCGCATTTGGGCAGCCGTCTGCGCCGTTGAAGACGCCGGCATCATGCCAGGAAAGGCGGACCATGATTGGTCCACAGCTCCTTGGTAACCCGGTAACCATATTAAAAATAAGGGCACCAAAAAAAGGGTAAAGGGTACCCCTAAACCCTAAACCCTAAACCCTAAACCCTACTAAACCCTACTAAACCCTACTAAACCCTACTAAACCCTACTAAACCCTACTAAACCCTACTAAACCCTAAACCCTAAACCCTAAACCCTACACCACTGGGCTGCCAAGGCTCTTGGCCGAGATCAGCTTCTCAAGGTCAGCCACCAGGTCGTCGTAGTTCAGGCAGCGGCACAAGGTCAGGTCCAGCTCCACGTCCGTCTTGCACCTACTACTTGGGTTTAGGGTTTAGGGTTTAGGGTTTAGGGTTTAGGGTTTAGGGTTAAGAACCCCCAAAAGAATCACAAAAACAATAAGCCCTATATAGTACCCTTAATAAGGAAGAACATGCTTTTTTCCCATATTTTTTGAGGGTTTCTTAAGCAACTCGTAGGCACTTGTCGAGCATCTGCGCGACGTCCCCGGTGGTGCCGTTCACCTCGATGATGCTGTCCCCCTTGCGGATCTGCATGTCGGAGTTGTCTTCGTTCCTCTGGGCTGGCCCTTACCCTAAACCCTAAACCCTAAACCCTAACCCCTAAACCCTAAACCCTAAATACTTCCTGAATAGGATCCTCTTAAACAACCCCCTCCCCCAAAAAAGGCAAAAAAAGAAGATGTCCCAAAAGGGCGCCTAGGTTCCACTTCTCTGCAACCCCGCCAGTCACTGACATGATGGGCAAGACAGAGCGCTCCGCCATGTAGTCCTTGGCTGACTTCTGAACCCCTCCTAAGAGTTTAACTTCTAGGATCCTTATTCCAGCATCTACCTTCCACAAAAACCCTAGACCCCTTTTGAACCTGGAAGCTGCTTCATGGAAAACCCTATACCCCTAAACCCTAAACCCAAAAGGTTACAGTCCCTAAGAAGAAAGCCAAGTGTCGACGTCCAAGCCAAGTTTCAGGCCGCCGGACTTCACAAGCTTGATGCCTAGGATGGCCCCAAACCCCAAACCCCAAACCCTCAACCCTAAACCCTAAACCCTACACCCTAAACCCTAGATGGCCCTTAAAATAGCTCTTTAAAAAACATTCCTATTGATATGACCCATCTTAATCCCCCAAGAAGGGAGAAATAATGAAATATCCCAAAAGGGCCTCCTAAGCCCTGAGCGCTAAACCCTAAACCCTAAACCCTAAACCCACCAAGATGCTGTAGATCCTCTCCTTGTCAGTCTTCCCGCCGGCCACCGTGGGCAGAGCGCTCAAGGAGCTGTCAAGGGCGGGCTTGGCATCCACCGAAGCCTCCACACCTGGGAGCTTATACGAAGATAGGGTTTAGGGTCTAGGGTTTAGGGTTTAAGGTCTAGGGAAAACAGGGGACCCCTAAAGTAGACCCCCAAAGAGTAGGATCCCCTTATAGATCAGGAATCCCAACAAGGTACAGTGCCCCCCCCCCCCCCCAATTTCGGAAACCCCCACCTGGTGACGTCTCCGACTTGCAGCACGAGGCATTCCCCATGTTTTGATGTGGAAAAAAGGATGCCCAAGACTTTGCTGGAAGAGCAGGGCCAGGCTGGTGCAAGGCACTCCGCCCGATTCGCCCTTGAGCCGGTCGAGAAGGCACAGGGAATTTCTGAAGAACAGCTAGGGATGCCTTAAACCCTTAACCCTATATACGCTATACCCATAACCCTAAACCCTATATACCCTAAACCCTAAACCGGACATGAAGAAAAATCAACAAAACGGCCCCAACGGCAGCTGCTACTACTAAGCATGGTCAAGCCCTACCCCTAAACCCAGATATGCCAAAGCCATCAGCCAAACCTAGCATTCAAGGGGCAGCCTTGCCAGGTCCTAAACCCTAAACCCTTAACCCTAAGCCCGAAACCCTAGACCCAAGCCCAACTGGAGAAACGAGCAGCGGAACGGCGTGCTTGATGAAGAAGCAGAGGGGCTCTTCACCGTCCCCTGCAAATGTGGTATCGGATGCAATGCTGCATTCCATACTGGCAGGTTCCGGCCGGAAAAAGTCTCAGCAACACTCTCAGACCCTGGCACTCTCTAAACCCTAAACCCTAAACCCTAACCCTAAGCCCACTTGAAATCTGGGAACCCCCGTTGGCCTCGCCCAGCCGAGTCGCTGAGCGGGCTCTCACTGCCAAGGACTTCGCCTCGTCACGGGTCTATTACTGGGCTTAGGGTTTAGGGTTTAGGGTTTAGGGTTTAGGGTTTAGGGTTTAGGGTTTAGGGTTTAGTTGCCATACCTGGGCTATATAGCACCACATGGAGCAGTGTTTTTTTATTCTGGGGCATAATGTTCAGGTTCTTAGCACAGAACCCAGTTTCATCGCTCGCGGGCACTGGCTCCAGCAGTTCTCGGTCGGATCAGTACAAACACACTCCCTCCCTAAACCCTAAACCCTAAACACTAAACCCTAACACATCCATATCATCCCAGCTGCTGTTGCTACGTCAATCACCAGCGTGTATCCAACAACCACCGCTCATGCGCTAAACCGGCTAAACCCTTGCAGCTCTGACTCCCAAACCCAAGAAGCCCAAAACCCACCAAACCCACCCAAACCAACCCAAATCCACCAAAACCCACCAAAACCCATGAAAAACATTGAAACATCAAAACCATCAACAAAAACCCATCAACACCCTAAACAACCCTCAGCCATCTCGGCCCAAACGCCCAACGCCCAACGCCCAAAGCCCAAAGCCCAAAGCCCAAAGCCCAAAGCCCAAAGCCCAAACCCTAAACCCTAAACCCTAAACCCTAAACCCTAAACCCTCCCCCCCGCCCCACCTTCACTGTGCCACTGGCTGAAGGCCTCCGGTCCACCTTGTTGACCTGGCGGTCAGGATGCGACCTCCAGGCCCCAAACCAAAAGCTTCCCAAGCTGCACAGACCTGGCCTCTCATGTTCAGGTGTAGGGTTTAGGGTTTAGGGTTTAGGGTTTAGGGTTTAGGGTTTAGGGTTTAGGGTTTAGGGTTTAGGGACCTTGGTGCACTACCTCGCCCAGAGACGTCCTTGTTTGCTCTTGAAAGAGCAATTTGCACGTAGCTTCGAGAAGGAGACCTCTGTCGTGGATTTCAGCAGATGCAACTTTGGGATGTCCCCCCCCCTCTACTGACCGTCCTTAAATAGGGAACCCTAAACCCTAAACCCTAAACCCTAAACCCTAAACCCTATTATTCAGGACTGTTAGTAAAAAGGGGGAGCATCCCACAGTGCAATCTGTGAACTACTACGTCAATGGAGAACCGCAAGCCGCCTCATTGCAATTGCCCGCATGGATGTCGGCAGCCCAGACCCTAAACCCTAAACCCCAAATTTAATGGATCCTAAACCCTAAACCCTAAACCCTAAACCCTAAACCCTAAACCCTAAACCCTAAACCCTAAACCCTAAACCCTAAACCCTAAACCCTAAACCCTAAACCCTAAACCCTAACCCTAAACCCGAATGCGAAGCCCAAACCCAGATGCCAAATCCGGACCCTGGGCGGCACCTTCAAGGGCACCTCCCTGCGCGCACTGCGGGCCTAGGCTTGTGAGGCTTTAGGGTTTAGGGTTTAGGGTTTAGGGTTTAGGGTCCATTAAATGCTGAATGATCTGAGGGCCGCGCGTTTAGGGTTTGGGGTTTTGGATGGTTGAGGCGATATGTGTGCAGGGTTTGGGGATCATTGCTCCTGGTGCTCTTCCCAGAGAGCCCAAGACCTCTGAATTTAGGAATGCGCCTTATAACGCTGTATATAACGCTGAAAACTTTAATCTCTGTTCCACCAAAAAAAACTAGGATGGCCCTTACGACCCCCTGAAAATATGTTTGAGCATGATCCTCTTAAACCCAATAAGGGAAAATAAAACATATGCCAAGGGCCTAGCTAGAAAAAGAGAGGGGGGCTTGAGGCCACCCCAAACCCTAAACCCTAAACCCTAAACCCTAAACCCTAAACCCTAAACCCTAAACCCTAAACCGTAAACCCTAAACCCTAAACCCTAAACCCTAAACCCTAAACCCTAAACCCTAAACCCTAAACCCTAAACCCTAAACCCTAAACCCTAAACCCTGACTTGAGGCTCCCTCTGGGTTGTCGGACCGAGGATGTTTGGTGCTAGGGTTGGCTGTCTGGTGGCCGAGACGGCTCAAGCGTACTTGGAGGTTCATGGTACATATTAACCAACGGTTTAGGGTTTAGGGTTTAAGGTTTAAATTTACTTGTTAACCAACTGTAACTGTACTTAGAACCTACGTATAAGCCCCTTAAGTGCCCTAATGTGGTTCTAAGTACAGTTATAAGTACAGTTATAATTGGTTAATGAGTACCACGAACCTCTACGTATGGTCTTGAACTTTGGGCTTAAGGGCAAAAGCTTAGTAGCCCAGTAACCATATTCTACTAACGGCACCCTTTTTGGGGTTGGTTTCTTGATAAGGGAACCTTGAAGCCCAAGAAAGGGAAAAGGGTACCACTGGGCTACCAAGAAAGGGAAAGTTGAGAGAGAGAGAGAGAGAGAGAGACAAAGAGAGAGAGAGAGAGAGAGAGAGAGCGAGAGAGAGAGAGGGAGGGAGGCAATGGCATGAAGTTTGGGCCAGGGACCCTTCAACCTTCAACCTGAACACTCCTTTTTCACACCCCAACCCTGTAACATGCATAAACTATGTACTTGAATCTGGCAGTTGGGAAAGTTTGGAAGCGAAGAAGCGACAAGAAGGGCGGGAATGCAACAACTATGTGGCGTTCAGGTTGAGGGTGAGGGCACGTGTGTTGAAGGTTGAATTACCCTAAACCCTGGACCCGTTCTGGGAAAGATGGTTGAAGTTTGGAATTGCTGGCTTAGGGTTTTCGGAGTTGCGGGTTGGAAGGTTTGGCGTTCAGGATCGTGGGCTGAGGGTTTCATGGTGCAAGGTGTCGGGGGTGGCACCCTCAAACCCTAAACCCCTCTGAACCCTGAACCACAATTTCTCAAGTATGAGAGCCAGGAGGTTACAGACGATCAACTGGGCTCCGAGCAGGCTATGCTAGCTGCCGTTCAGGGGTGTTTAGGATTGAGTTCTTGGCTGTGGGGAAAAGGAAATGCAGCGGAGGCACGATGGAAAGCATTTCCTCGGGGACGCGGGACTCAAATACTCCGGATGATGTTGGGGCGCAGCAAAGGCTTGGTGACAAGTTTTGGGCAAGCAACCCTAAACCCTAAACCCTAAACCCTAAACCCTAAACCCTAAACCCTAAACCCTCTGCAGACTTCTTCGAGCCCTTCAGGTTCCGACTTCGCGAAGCTTGGAGCAGCCATATGGGGATTTCCGAAATGCGGGGTACCTTATGGGGGTCCTTATTATCAGGGGACCCTACTTTTTAGGGATCGATATGGGGGTCCCCTATTCCCATTAACCCCCAAATAGTGAAGATAATCTATCCGCTTCGCAGAGCGATCACCGCAGCCCAGAAACGTGCCAGGGATGCTCGTGAAAGTCAATCCCAGGCAGCAACGAAGCACACTTTTTCTTATGAGATGGAAAGACGTGCTATGCGCAAGCGAACTGCTGGCCGACACAAAGAAGGGCAAGTTCTCCGAAATTTCCGAAGGCTCGGCTCGACTGATCCTTGTTTCAGGCCCAACGGTCCATGAATCAACCCGAAGCCCTAAACCCTAAACCCTAAACCCTTTTCCAAGAGACTTCGCCCGCCTCGATAACATCCCCTCTGAGCCAAGGCCGCCCTGCAAGCCCCCCCGTACTCGTGACAGCAAGGCCCCCAATCCCCCTGCACCCTAAACCCTAAACCCTAAACCCCTAAACCCGAAACTCAACAAAAGCCAAGCTTCTGGTGCCTCCTTGTCCACTGGATCGACAGCGCAGGGGGCCTGCCACTGCATCCATGATGATCTGCCTTAAAAAACACAAAGACATAAGAATCCTCCTATTGGGGTATAAGGGCCCCTGTAATGGGGGATTCCGGAAAACCATGTTTGAAGAATCCTTGTGTTGATGTGGTTTTTTGGGGCTCCTAGAAAAGTAAGACTGTCTCTTCGTGTCCCTGTTTCTGTCTGCAGCTACACCTTTTCGGGCGTCTTGTGGCTACCCTGGATGCCAAGCCACACTAAGCCCTAAACTCTAAACATGCAAATGCAACAGGACCCTTCGGACTCCCTGAAAGTAAGGGCAATCATCATAGTAAGGATACTAACTTGGGTAAATTCAAGGCTAACAGTCCTTAATAATTAGGGATAACAGGGGGTACTAACTATACTCCCTTCCCTACTAAGGACTGTTAGCATAAGGGGGAACATCCCTCTGAAACCCCCACACGGACACCAATCCACAGGAACAAAGCAGGGTTTCCCATCCAGCCGCAGCCTTGAAAGCGGCCATGCCTCAGCTCAATGGCATGCAAGACCCAGGGCAACGTGGGCTTGGAGGCCACAGATCCCCCCCCTAAACCCTAAACCCTAAACCCTAAACCCTAAACCCTAAACCCTAAACCCTAAACCCTGAACCCTAAACCC